TGGGAACCTCATTCCTCCTTTTCCTTCTTTTGTATTCTTACAGCCCTCCCAGTCACCACCCTCCCTGGTCTGGCTCCCCCTGTGGCAAACCCAAATCAAGAGCTGCTATGATATAACCTCTACCTCAAAATCAGGACTTCTGAATTCCAAGTGAAACACCATGCTCTCCTGAACTTACAGTGGGAACTCAGGGACAAACCCCTCATCGCCAGTACTTTTCATGTTTCTATCACAGTACAAAAGAGCAACTGAGTAGAAGAGAGTAAAATCATTTTTTTTTTTTGGCTTGGGGAAGAGAAGTAGGAAATAACTGTAGATAAGAAAACATCATGTATATTTAGCAGGTTGGAATTAGCCATATGGAAATAATTCTAGAGAGGGTCCAGCGGTACTAAAGGGCTAGTAGTGCTCCAAATTTTGATTTCCTTTAAACTTCTTTCGTATTCCCTAACTCATTTTCTAAATCTGGTTGGGCAGGATTAACCCTAGTGAAGTTCCAGTGCAATTATCTGAGGATAAAATGTATATTTTTCTTTTCTTTTTTTAATACAAATATTTTTAGTGTAATCATTTTATTTACAGAATAAATTGCAGAAGTATATCATTAACATTTAGTGCAAATGCAACTAATGAAGATTTATACACTGCTTGTAAACTGTCCATACCTTTGTAAAATAAAGCTACCCAATTTAGTCATGACAGTTACCAGAAATGGTAAACAGAGAAACATTTATAGCGGGCATATAGAATATTTTTGAAGAGTCCCATCAGTCGCTATGGTGAATAAACCTTCCCTCCCCAACCCTCCCATCCCAATTGCAGAACTGATTGTAAAATAAAATACACATTTGAGGTATAAATTTTTCTTTCTTAAACATCATGATATAAAATGTTAACGGTGATGTAGTAAACTGATAAGATAATTTGTTTTATTTGCCTTAACTAGCATTACCACCATATAGGCACTTCTCCACGTAGTCAAATTATGAACGGCATTTTTCTGTAATAAGGCATATTCCATGCACATCATTTAGAGAAAGGTAAATTAAAAAATAGAAAAGATTTATGGAGCATGAAATCTGTGTGCATGTAATGTGAGCATATGCTTTATATGTATTTTTCTCTCTGTACAGAATAATAAATACCACTATATCTGATGCAAGTAATTAACTTCCAGGATTGTGTATATTAAGTGATCAGACTAATCCCATCATTAAGTTATCACCTTGCATTTATCATTAAGACTCCACTACCATGTATGAAATATATACAGGACATGTTCCACATGACATGACTTTCTGCTTTACAAAGTGGGTCTGGCTTCTGTGTTTCTATAGAGATGAAAAAGTCAGCAAAGCATCTACAAAATGCCTCTGATTTATGTAAGCACACTTGTGTATAAACAAAATGAAGATTCTGAAGTGGGCAGTCGTTTCTGCTTCAATGAGTTCCATTCCCTGCCTCAACTCCATGTGTCAAGGTTTTCAAAGAGGCCTAAAACTGAAAAAGGCATTTTACATCTAAGTTTTTGCAGCAGCTAAAGACAGAGTTTCAGTCTGAATCACAGGGACTTCTTTTCTGCCCTGCTGGAGTTCCTCATCAAGAGGCAAACAGGAGTGATGCCCACATTTTCTATGCCTATCTTGTAACACAGCTTTTAAACTGACCCAAATTGGAAGAACAAACAAACATACGTTACTGAATACTAGAAATATTGAATCAAACGTCAAACAGCGAGATTTGCTGGAACAAGTAATACCGTATGTCCTCTCACATGTGTCAGGAAAACATGAGCTCATTTTATTCTGACCGTTTTACCAGAAAGTAGTTTATACCTAGTAAGGTTGTACAGGTGTTTCTGTTTGGAGGCAGGCAGAACCAATTCAGGAATTACCAAATTGTGTTTGTAACAAACTGAAAAAAATCTGTAGCACACAGTACACAACTAAAAATACAATAGAAATATAAAGGTATCTGGAGAAAAAAATAAAGCTTTTCACTCTTTCTCCATCAGAACCAAGGTTCTTCATGGGAGTAAGACTATAGAAAAGGCGAAATCACACATTATTGACAGCCCTCAGTTATTAAGAGACACTGTACATAACAACATGAATTATTATAGAAATCAGCAGCAACGAATTCTATGATTATACAAAGCAAAAAAGTAAAAAAAATTCCAGACACAGACTTGACTGTGGGCCTAAAAAAGAACCCCATCCAGGCCTCCTGCGCACAGAAAGCGCGTGCCCACGTGCGTCCAACTTGTGTGCTTTTCTTCTGCGCATGGAACCTGATAGGACCGAGGGTCTCAGGCCGGACCACAGTAAATTAAAAATTCTGAAAAAGTTTCCAAAAATTAAAGCATCAATTCCTAGTTGTGATTCAAAGTTGATGTTTTTTTCTCTTTTAGGAGCAAGCAAATAAAAATATAGCCATATACATGTAATTTTACATGTATTTATAGTTATATGCTGAGCAAGGAGATCTAGCAGCAGACAGCTAGTGTTAAGATGTTCAGCTTTGCTATTGCGGTATTTTCCTCATTTTTGAACACAAGGCCAAGGTGTTGGGCCACATACAAGGCTATAGATCCTATGTTCCAGCTTAGAGCATTCAATTTTGTTTTTTAACTTTTTTCCTCCAACATGGAATGTCACACAGCCTTGCTTCAGTCACTGTAGGAAAGAAAATAATAAGTAAAACATTCAGTACTATATGATCGCTAATAGCTGCGGTACTACTAGAACAGACTTCTCCTTCCTTCTGAATCCATGGCATGCACAGAATCTCTCCTCAAGTTTTATATTTTAAGGGTTTTTCACCTTAAGGAATATAAAATTGTTAACTTTACATATTTGAAACGTATCATCAGAAAAGAAGGCATAAGAAGTCTTGTGAAGGCTGGAAAAAGTTAAGAAAGACAATGTGCACAGGAGGCGGAAAGGGATGCAGCAGCAGTCTCTGGGTCTGCACCCAGACGGGGACTCCCTCTGTCTTAGTGGTCAGCATAAACCGTGCTACACAGCATCAAGAATTTACGCAGGCTATGAGAAAGAAGTCTGCCTTATCTTAAGAAATGCCTTGTCAAACGAGTTTAAGAGTCCTAAGTTTTAAATATCTTTGGGCCTCACTAACTCTTTATGGAATTTCTCTAGAGATGATACACGCTATTGAAAGTTACTATTTCTCCATCATCAAACTAATAATGTTAGCTTTCCTAAGGTTTCGATGCTAGGATCCAGTTCATACATACATCTCCCAAAATTATTATGAAACAAATTGTTACTTTAGGTAAATGAAGATTCAATGTAGGTAAAGGAAAATATGATTTTCTGTCAGAAAGCTCAATCTGGACTCAAAGAGACCAGTTCTGTCTTTACACACACACATACACAGTATAAGATATTCTAAAAATAGTGCATTTAGGTACTACACTTATGCTTTAAAAGAATCCTTCAAAAAAAAAAAAAAAAAAAAGAGAATCCTTCAAAGGGCAGACTTTGTCTCAAACACTAACCATTCAGAGAAGTAAGACCAGAACCTGTTTAACATTTTCATGTAACCTATTTTCCTGGGAAAAGCTACTTATCTGGGACTTCAATGCAATAATCCCTGTGTTGGTGTCTGAAAGTAAATTAAGCCTTTTTTAAAAAAAAAAAAGAAGAAGTAACACAGTATAAACAGAATCAGAAACCAGACTTAATTATACAAGCAGTCCCCAACTGGACGAAAAGATGCGGGAACTCATCTGTAACAAGAGGACACTATGTTTTTTTTTGGCCGTGCCATGTGGCTTGCAGAATCTCAGTTCCCTGACCAGGGACCGAACCTGGGCCAGGGTGGTGAGAGCACTAGGCCAGCGGGGAACTCCCAAGAGGACTATAATTTAAATTGCACTGGGAGAATATTTCTCACCTATCGAGTTGGAAAAAATCAGAAAGGTTTATTTCCTACACTGTGTGAGTGTCAGGGAAATAGTACTTCCGAAATGTTACTGCTGGTGAGATGGTAAATTAATACAACCTCTACAGAGGGCACTCTCTGAATTAAAATGCACAAGACCTCTGAAGTGCCAGCAGTGTCACGGGTAGTAATTTACTCACAAACTAAACAACATGGATATGACTGCAATACTGTTTGCTCCCACAAAAGCTAGAAGCAACTTTAACATCTGCAAGTGGAGAACTGGTTAGATAAATGTATGTGCATCCATACAATGGGATTCTACACAGCCATAAAAAGAATAAAGCAGCTCTGCATTGATGAGGAAAGACCTTCAAGATAAAGCATAAAAAAGCAAGATGCAGAACTCCACCTACAGTATGCAGCCTTTTACCAACAACAATGAAGGTGTGTGTGGCAGGAATACACTTGTATTTGCTTATTCAGGTGAAAATAAAACACTTCTGGAAAAACACAAGAAACTACTAGTAGCACCTATACACTTTGGTATGTGGTGGTATGTGGTGATGGTGCAAAACTGGGTGATTAGGAGACAGGGGATATATTTTATTGTGTATCTTTTCAAACCTTTGACTTCTGAACCATGTTAACATACCACTTATTAAAAAAAAACACCACACACAATGATTTCAGTGCCTAGCGCAAAGATAATCAGTGCAGCATTATTTGACAATAAAAATATGGAACCAGCCAGACATTAACATGGGCCAGTGCTTAATAAATTCTACAACATTTATACAACAGATGTTAAAAGAATGATATAGTTTTATATGTCTCATATCTTTCTATGTACTAATAGTCAAGATATATTAAGTAGAAAAAGCAAGCTGCAAGACAATACTTTGGAAAAAAAGAAAATCAAAGATATATGTCAGTACATACATATAAGTCTGGAAGAATATATGAAAAACCTAAAAGTATTTTCTGGGAAGGGAGAAATAAGGGAATTTGTGCTTACTTATTATGTCTGCAAGAGCCATGTTAATCAAATAAAGTTTAAAAAAAGGATAAAATACATTTTCCAGTACCTGTTAATACTAGAACAAAATAGGTTTTCCTGCAGTTTTTTCTTGTACGTAAGAAGTGAAACGCTTTAGAAACTTTGGATACTCTCGTTTTGCCACTGCCCTTAACACCGAAGCTGGTGCCCATCCTCCAGGGTTTACTGTGAGACAAAGGAAAATGAAAGCTGTTAAGGTAATTCCCCAAACACGTGTAAAGCACTCATTCTGTTCCTCTGCTTTAAAAAAAAATTCCTCACATTGAAACAGCACCTCTTAAAAAGTCTTGATCACTCAGTCCTTAGTACTGTACCAACCACCAGATAAGAACAGGTAACAAATTAGAAAGCATTTATTACTGTTCTAAAATGTTCCTGGTTCCCCGAACTATATGCAAATATTAGGACAGCAGCACGTCCACTTACTAAAGGTGGATTTACTCAGTAAACTCCATTATAATCAAATAGTAACCTGCTCAGGCGTAACTGTCTCTGTAAACATACCAGCAATGACGGTTCCGTATAAAGAAAGTTTGAACATTTGATTAGAGGGACTCTAGTTTACTGCAGGTAGGAGATGGGTGGAGTGAGGAACCATTAAAAGTGATGAACAGGACTGTCCAGCACTAGGCCAGTGTGAAATAAATGCATCACTAGCAGCTACTAAAGAACAAGGGAACAAAGATTTAGAAAACTAAAAAGTCTGACAATAAGAAAAACTACTGTTCACCTGAAACTAGCATAGTATTTTACATCAACTATTATTTTACAAAAACCCAAAGTTATAAAGTAAAAAAGAAGAAAACAACTATTTCCAGTAATCCAACAACCAAGCAACAAGTCAGTATTAGCATTTCTTTTTAACTTTTCATATGTACATATTTTCTTCTTTTAAAATTTACTGAAATGGTATTTTATATGCTTTCTCTCACCCCACTTAAGTTATAAACATTTTTCTAAGTCACTAAATGGTCTTTGAAAATTTCGGAAAAAAAGAAGTATTTATTTCCTTTCTCACTGTTGCTTATGTTCCTAATTATACAAATATTCTATAAGAGTCATATATCTAATAAAATGGTTCTTAAAACTGTACATGTAATAGTGATCTAAACATGAAGTTTACAAATTTGCCTTTCCAGCCCCAGCTTCAGAAATTCTGATACAGTAGTTATTCAGACATGTATATTTTGAAAGAGTCCCAGTAATTTTGATATATATTTCTCCAAATTAAAAATTACTAAATCTAATGGATAAAAACTAAAATGACATTTGTAAATGGTATTTGTCCAAACTGTCAGTTATCATGTAGATAATAAAAACATCCATATGACCAAACACCAAAAACAAAATACATACCATTGGCCACGTATGTAATCTTGCATAGAATATTGTCCCTGCTAATCTCCTGGTTTCCCTCTGGGGGGCTCACCAAGGTCTGACAAATCAAAGCAACATTTATTTTGGCACGGACACATCGATTGTTTAGCTGCCAAAAGAAAAAATAACAACACCAGTGTAGCAGATATCCAGTATTCTGTAAACTCTTCTGGTCTAATCCTACATTAAGTTAACCAAAACTATAACTCATCATTTCCAACAAAATCTTATAAGCACCAATGAAGAATACATGCCAATGTCTGAATGCTGGGAGGCAGCAACCGTGGGGTGTGGGGTTGAAGTTACTTGAATGGATTAAAGGTTGCATTGTCACAAAGCTAGAAAAAAAATTTGTAAATGAAAAATGATAATAGTCTTGCATTGAATATAAATAATACTCCAAGCATGTGAAGATGTGATCATTTGTGATGTTACTAAGAAAAAAGTATATATATTAATACATCTTTTGAAGTATTGGAAAGGAAAAAAGTACTCTATATTCTTTATCATATCACTTTTTGTAAGTATTGAATATACTCTTGTTCATTTTTCTATGTTCTGTTTTATAGCCTTAAGAAGTGTTTATACATTTCTGGATGTATAAAATAAGAGTAAATGCCCTACATGGTTTGATGCTGTATTACACATAAAACTGTGTGCGTACATTAAACTTTTATCTCTTGAAAAAACAAAAAGAATAGATGCCAAGCTGATTTGACATCAGGAACGTTTTCCCTCCTTCTAAGTAGTAAAAGTAGCTAAAACGAGGTAGAAACCAGTTTTGCCTGCAGTTGATCATGGCTTGAGGCAATTGTGACAAGCAGCCTACCTAGTGACCCATCCAGCTGTGTCACAGAACCTCAAGAGGAAAGGAGAACAGTCCTGCTGGGATGTTCATGGCATGAATGTTGCTCTCAGATAACACTACTGGCTGTACTCTTCCAAGAAGCCGACTTTAATAAACAAAAATTTAAGAAGCATTATCAAATCTTTACGTGTGATGTGTGTTGGTCACTTTTGCCCTGTGCTGTGTTGTGTATTTAACTTTATATTGTACAATTATAACACATTTATACACCATACTTACAGGAGCACTGCTGTGATCTACAGAAAAATTACAAACTATCCAAGTCTCTGGGTCATTTTCATTCAAAGCTGATATCTTTCGAATGGCAGAAAGATATAAGACGTCCCGCTGAGAAGCTGGCCACACTCTCTATGGAAGAAGTACACATCTTTTGAAAGACTGAACTCCGTTTTTGGTTTTCTTTTTGGCTGCGCCACCCACTCCAGTTTTCTTGGGCTTCCCTGATAGCTCAGTTGGTAAAGACTCTGCCCGCAATGTGGGAAACCTGGGTTTGATTCCTGGGTTGGGAAGATCCCCTGAAGAAGGGAAAGGCTACCCACTCCAGTATTCCGGCCTGGAGAATTCCATGGACTGTAGTCCATGGGGTCATAAAGAGTTGGCCACGACTGAGTGACTTTCAGACAGCATGCAGCATCTTAGCTCCTCAACGAGGGATCGAGTTTTAACCACTGGACTGTCAAGGGAAGTCCTGAAAATTTGAAATACTTTTTATTTACATTCAATAAGGAACTAACAAAGAAACAAATGTAAGACTAATAAAATGTTTTAGTATAAGGTAATATCTGTCAGATTTTAAATGGAAAGCACCCTCCAAAGGATCTGATTATGAAAACTGAGTTAATGGCTTTGCAGAATACACCTAAAGAATAACGTTGTTATTTATAGTTCTCTTTAAATTTGGTAACATATACGTAACATAAAATGCTATAATTTTAAGTGTACAATTGACTGGCCTTAATTATTTTTATAATGTTATATAAACGCCACCACTTGTTCTAAATGTGTCATCACTCCCAACAGAAAGTCTGTACCCATTAAACAATCATTCCCCATCAGCCCCTCCCACAGCCATGAGACCATTTTTAAGTACAGTAATATGCCTCTGTTTTAACTGTTCAGAGCAAAGAAGATGCTCCACTGATATAAAAATCATATCTGAAGAATTCGACTGAATCTTTCAGCTTCATGGTATGCAAGGAAAAACATACTGTTGAAATGACACAGAATCTAGGTCTCTGCAAACTGGACTACATACTTTTAAATGAGAGAAAATATGCAGAGTCTTTCCTGGTTGCTAAATTTAATAAATAGTCAACAACTCGGTGTTAATACAACCCAAATCATTTGCAAAGTGAAATGGTTCATCTTTTAAAGACACAAAATGTCATGAAGTTTATGACAGTAGTGCTGGGCAAATCTATGTGATGCCATTAAACAAATGAAAATGTGGCCATATTAGAACTAATGAAGGCAAACAAGGATGATGGTAAGACAGAAATTTGAAGAGAATGACTTCAGTATCAAGAGATGAGTAGCGCTCTTTAAGACTGTATTATGAAAGAAGCCAAATCTAAAAAGAAAGAATTCTATTATTACTGGAAAAGTGATAAGGTAAGTGAAAGTCGCTCAATCGTGTCTGACTTTTTGCGACTCATGGAGTCGCATGGACTATACAGTTCATGGAATTTTCCAGGTCAGAATACTGGAGTGGGTGGCCTTTCTCTTCTCCAGGGGATCTTCCCAACCCAGGGATCGACCCCAGGTCTCCCGCATTGCAGGTGGATTCTTTACCAGCGGAGCCACAAGGGGAAGCCCAAGAATACTGGAGTGGGTAGCTTATCTCTTCTCCAGTGGATCTTCCTGACCCAGGAATCGAGCCAGGGTCTCTCCTACATTGCAGGCAGATTCTTTACCAGCTAAGCTACCAGGGAAGCCCTATTATTACTGGATTTTGTTGAAAAAATTATGCCAGGACAATTCATTTATTCAACTAACTACAACTGTAACTTAAATTCTGTTATATATAAGATACATTACTTAGGTAATCTTTTAGTTTTCCAGAAATAATCCTAATATGACCTATATATTCCTCCCCTCCATCTACTATTTAACAAGCAAAATAATTTCTGCAGGCCATTTTCCAGGACCAATTATCTTTAGAAAATAAGAGCCTTCTGATTCTAAACGACTGGTCATTTATTTTCACTGCAAATTAAAAAGTAACTAACATTATACAGAGCGAAGTAAGCCAGAAAGATAAAGACCATTACAGTATACTAACACATATATATGGAATTTAGAAAGATGGTAACGATAACCCTATATGCAAAACAGAAAAAGAGACTCCGATGTATAGAACAGACTTGTGGACTCTGGGAGAAGGCGAGGGTGGGATGTTTCAAGAGAACAGCATCGAAACACGTATATTATCTAGGGTGAAACAGATCAGCAGCCCAGGCTGGGTGCATGAGACAAGTGCTCGGGCCTGGTGCACTGGGAAGACCCAGAGGGATCGGGTGGAGAGGGAGGTGGGAGGGGGGACCGGGACGGGGAATACATGTAAATCCATGGCTAATTCATTTCAATGTATGACAAAACCCACTGCAATGATGTGAAGTAATTAGCCTCCAACTAATAAAAATAAATGAAAAAAAAAAAAGTAACTAATATTTTAAAGTCTATTAAATTTCGACTCTAACCCCCTAAATCAGTAAGTTAAAACAAAATCTTCATTGTTAAGCCTTTCTTGAGTAGCTGTCATGTAAATGAAGCCTAAGTCAGAGTCATTAAATACGACATGCCTCAGGTAACAAGACTAGCTCAAGAAATACACAACAAAACTGGAAATATTATCAAATATTCAACTCAATTAAAAATTATTTTAAAAAGAAAAATGAAGTACTTACTGAATCATCATGTTTCTTATATAACGTACAAAACTGCTTTTGGTGGATCTCTCCAAAATTTTAATTTATTATTGTTTATTCAACATAATATTTGGCAATGTTAAGAACAAACATAGAGCAGAGTAAGGTAAGAGAAATATTCTCTAATTTACATATTTAGATTAACAGAGGAAGAAATGAAGTGAAAGGAAACCAATTTAAATGACAATGTTTCTTTGTGTTCTGAGGCAAGATCAACAACCTCTCAATAGCTGATGCTCAGCAATTTTTCCTTGCTATCAGATTTAGATCATGTTCACTTTTGAGTCTTAACACAGACTAATAACATACTTTCCATTCTCCTATTACTGTCCCAGGAAACCAATTCATATCTGGTCACTCATTTATTTCCTCTAGAAACTAGATTCTAGAAAAACATTTAAATAGATTTCAGTACTTTCTTCTCCAGACTTACTATATATCTTCATCTAATGTTTTAGATATTTTTCAGGTTTGTATTTGCACCCATTTCTGCTTTAAAGCAGAAACTGTTTAAACAATCTGATTTACTTTTCAAATACACGAAATATGTGATTAATAAAGTCTTTGAATATTTTTGTACAACTTAATTTCCTGCCAAATTTTAAGAGAATATTTTATATGTCTCTGTTTCAACTACGCTGGAATCCTTCTGGGATTAAAAGATACTTACCTTGTGCGTTTGATAAATGATGATTGCATTATCAGCTAATGTTTCCACCACATGAAAGTTTTCTATAGTTGCTGCAATGAAGAGAAAATGTCAGTAGTCAAAAAATGTATTACTGTTTCCTAGTATGTGACTAACTCACTTAGGAGTGGACATTATAGTAAAATGAACAGGATCTTGCTCTACTGAGGCTACATCCACATGGAAGGGAGTTTATATTTATTTAGTATTTATTTAGTATTAAGGGTTATAGATGGTGGCAATGAGATCTAATCACCAGGAAACCTCCTTTTCTTTGACCCAGTATCCAGTTCCCACTGCAAGGAAGTAATTCTAATCATGGCTTCATTACTAGGGCACAAATTATTCCCTAACACCATGACCCCTTCCCTCTCTATCATCCTTAATTTACTGAAGCTGAATAAGCTGTTCACCTAGATTTAGGTGACTATGTTTTAAGTCTCAGAACACCCCACCCCCCACTGACACCACTCCCCCCATAGCCCCCGCCTTAATCTACAATTTATCACATAAACCAGTATAGAAAAAAAGAAGATGATAACATAGAAACCTTTTATTTTAGCCTTGGCTTTTCCACTAGCTAGTTCTGTGGTCTTTAACACGTCACTTAGGCTATCTGAATTTTACTTTATTACCTACCTATCACACAGGACTGTAGTGAATTAAATGCTGTTAACTCACTGAGAAGCATTTTGTACAATGACAAGCTCAGGTATTATCAGTCCCCTGTATGATGCTCCAGATAGTTTCTCTAACTATGTGGAGTTTTTATGACTTTGTAAACTATAGCTCAGATGAAGAAAACCAGGTAAGATTTGGTATTTGACTTAGAATTAAAAAACTGTATCAAAATATATTAATGGCAGCTTACTTTCCCAATCATTGCGCACATCAACATTCCAGAAGTAATTGCACACTTCGTGTCCTGTAACGCCTTTAACTGCATGGGTAGCTTTCAAAGGATCCAGAACAATCCCATTTTCTTCCACTTCTCTTCTATATACCTAGAGGATATATTTTAAAACATGTTTGAAAAACACTTATGGAACATAAATATTCTGCCAAAAGAAAAATTAAAATTTCAAATTACTAACAAAGACAATACATAAAATTATTTAAAACTACAATTCCAAAGTATGCATATGTAATGAGTGAGAGCTACAAATACATCAACTTAAATTAGACATTATTTACTGAACATTCTCAAAGACCATTCATCATGGCTAAGAAGGCCAATATAGCTGGTTAGAGCATTATCTCCTTAGGGATAATATGGCAGCTCTGTTCACTGCTGTATCCCCAGCATCTAGAACCGTATCTGAAACACAGAAGGCACGCGATTATTTGTTGCACCAATGATGGAATGCTAAAATCGCATAAAGATCAATGATATCTTGCTTTTAAATAATGAGGTTGCATGCCTTAAGATCTATCTTGCTTTAAATACTGAGACTGTATATATAAACTCCTGAACAAAATTGATTACTTCAAAATTATAGAGGATTTGGTACTTTAGACAGCTCTGTAGTAAGTTCTTTTGAAAAACAAACAGGTTATCACAGAGGAAACCAGCACTCAATTTATGAAGTGCCTATGGGGCCGGACACCGTTAGGCATTTCACCCAATTTCTTCTCTTTTACACTCTCTCTCTCCAAAGTACCTTTCCTTACATATTTATTTATGTTATTGGGACTGATATTTTTCCAGTAACCAAAGCGGGAAACTCTAGACTTTTGATTTCGTCCCTTACACTTCACATAGCTTTTAAGCTTATTAGTAATCTTACTACAAGACATCCAAAACTTGACTTTTCTACTACTGTATATCTTTTTTAGGTATGTTTTCATCACCTCGTATCTGAATCTCTGAAGGGGTTTTCTTGGTCTCTAGTTTCATATCCCTATGAGCCTAGTCCTTCTAAAATGTCACTCTGTGTACAATGGCTAGCTCACTGCTACAGACAGTAACACATTCTGTTTAGTGGGTTATTTTATACACCCCATAAACCAGCCCCAGTGACTCTCTCTAAAGTTGGGGGAGCACTTTTTTTCTGCCACGCACTTTAGGTGAAGGACCTCCACCTAGACTGCGACTCCTGGCTCCTCTTCACCCTCTCACTTCCCCCTCCTTGCGGGGCGACAGGGATATCTGAGAGGTGAGCGCAGAAGGAGGGCCGGGCAGGTTGGCTGAACCCCTTCTCCTGTGGGCAGGATGTGTGCTGGGCTGCCCTGGGGGCATGCTCTTGTGGGGGAAGGCCTGTGACTACCTAGTTATGTGTCATTCTGGGGAAACAAATTAGTGAGACCTCATGACAGCTGGCCTTTATGTTCTCTAATCAGACCGTCAGAATTGTAACTAACATACTGGTCTCTCATTTGCTTATCTCCTCTGATTTCTTAATTTGTTCCCTATTCAGGAGGAGAGTAAATTCCAACATCTAACACTGTATCTCACTTGCTAGAATAATTCTGGTCAAAAATCTGTACAAAACTCCTGAACATAAATGCCCTCGCCTCACCTTTGTGATAACCTTGTTTCCATTTCTAGTCATGGTCCTTGATGAAAAACAATCTGTCTCAAATCTGAGATCTCTTTCAATTTTTCTCCAGTATTCACCTGTACCTTTCATTCAATATTATCTGGTAGAGCTAAATAATTGTATCTTTTAAATGTCAATATCCTCCTTCCAACCAAAGTTTCAGCTTGGAGGGAACCTTATTAAATATCTCTTTATCGTTAGCATTGTGCCTTGGGCATGAAGTAATCCAAAATTCAATGATACTGTTGTTGGTTTTCAACTGAACGCTCAATCTCTTGTCCCTTGCTCTTACTGTCTTGTATTTAGAGATATGAGCAAGATTAGCTAATCAATGTCCAAAAAAGGAAGCGGTGAGAGAAAGAACAAGAAGTGAGGTATAGACCAAAGAGGGAAAAAGTTAACACCTGGGCACAACATTCAGTCTATTTAAAGAGAGAGAAATATCCAGTCATTAGCGAATTGTGACCTGTTCACATCAAAACCCATTTTCTCCATGGCCAAGGTAAAACAGAAAAATTTGGGTATAGATTTATACTATAATCATAAAAAAATTATGTAAAAGCTAAACCAGGGAAGCAGAGAGAGATTTTATTTCTCAGCATTTAGAGCTTCTTCAATCACCTGTAATAACTTACTTAAAAGAAAACTGTAAGTGCTATCCTACTTAGATCAGCAACAGTAACACAGTCTGACCGCAACGGGCTGCAACGAGCCTGCAGGGATTACCTTCATCTCGCCTTCTTCTACAACCAGCTGCCAGTTGGCATCTCCACCTACATCCTGCAGGGAATAGGTCATGTGGTTCTGCACCATCTCTTCAACCTTAAAAAGAAAAACAGAACCGTCAGAATCCACATCCAGTAATCTCTAAAACAGAATGGTATTCAGTTATTTCAGTTCAGAAATGATGTTTTTAGAAAGCTAAGCAACCAAATGCACAAAGGTTAGTAGGTTTTATACAGTGTTAAAGAGTTTTAGTCCACATTCCAGATATCATATCCAGGTTAATGACAGGAAGGAGAAATGTGGGGAAAGAAGGTGCTTCACTCTACTTAACACTGGCCTAATGTGCATCAAGAGACCAAAATGTGTGTTTTCTGGAAAAAAAGAATTACTCCTTACTTTCCTACAATATGCATTCTTACAAAGATAATGTCTTAAAGCATAAAATCATGGAGCATTAAGCGTAGAAGGGGCACAAAGAAACCATCTAGGCCAGTGTTTCTGTAGTTAAATACTACGGAGATATTAGAAAGCTTGTTGTGTGTCAAGATTTCTCTACAAAAAGAAAATTTTTGTTATTTTACTCAACTCTTTTATCATGAATATAAGCCAACTTAAAAAATAACCAACCTCTCCATATATCTGATCCCATTTCATTATTCTACATTCTTTCTAAATTTCTAACTAAATTTCTTTTACTAAATTTAAATTGCAACCTCTGCTTTTAATTATCAAATTATCTTGACACATCTTTTACAAACAAATAAGAGTCAAATAGTTCATACTCCAAGAAACCTGACTCATCGGTAAGATCTCATTTAAATGTGTTCTCTGGAAACCCTCCCAGTATGAAACATGTTTATAAACAGAAATGAAGTGATAAACAGATTGTCTCTGAAAGAAACTGGCCCCTTTTCCATCTACACAGTCAGTTTCTAAGTCCTATTTTCTTAACTTTTACTCATAATTTTGTTTTACAGAACATTAAAAGAAGGCAGAAAAGAACTGAAAAATATGTATATTATGCTTCAATTTTAAGATTTATTCCTAAGTTTAACAACTTATTTTACATAAAGTCTATTACATTCATTAGGGAAACATAAGAACCAGGTTTACATGTATTTTGAATTAAACACGTTAATGATTTGGGGGCAGAGCTCTTAAAATTAGTCACTTTGAAGATATCATTTTTCTGCATATAAGGGTATTATCAATATGTTATTGTGATGTGTACACCAAGTTTCCTGGATTTCAGAAGGCATTTTTGGTTACTGAAAGTAGTTATGACTAAAAGTGTCTCTTTAATTGGCAATGATCATCCGAAAAGGTTTTGATAATAGCGTGTAGGCTGAAATTCTACAATCTACATTTGTACTAAATAAATGTTACATAGTAACTTATTTCTTTATCCATAATCTTTAATGTGAAGGGTGTTGAGTTAGAGAACTGGAAGAAATTTTAAAACATGACATCTATAATTTTATAAAGCCTTAATTAGAAAACATAACTTCAAAGGCTGACTGGGAATAAAACCTTTGTGTCTTTAAAATTCTGCAATCTGCTCTGCGAGGTTCAGGATGGACGACTAATGTAGAGTTCCAAGTTACAAACACCACACACCAAGGGTGTCCTATTAGAGGAGGAAGAAAGCAAGTCCCAGGCAGGTGCACTAATGGAGCCTCCACGGCAGCACTGGCCTACGGCATTAGTCTGCGTCACACCATGAATGGGAGGCTAGTTTTAATCACTTTTAAATTTCAGGATCTTAGAAATCTTTAGATATGTACATACTTTTTCGGTAGGATACTAGGAGTTAAGAACACCTGTATTTATTATGAGGTTAGAGGTAGAAAGAAATATTTCTCCCAAAGAGGCCCTACTTTAAATGGATTATTTGTGAAAGAAGAATGTTAAGGATTTTACTCTGCTAAAAAAACAAAGAGAGTTCTACTTAAAATAACTTTAGTGCCATTTAGCTCTTTTGTTGAAAAAATATGCAGGTAATTGTGTTTCTATCTGGAAGAGTATTCCTAAATTAGTTACTTCAAATGTCTGAAAAATGAGAAGCTGTTTTTGATTTGTGTTTTGATGCAAAAGAAACCAGATTCCACAAATACAAACTGACAGGAGGTAACTTAAGTTTGAAACAATGTACGGTAAATGCATTTAACGTTGTCTTGCTAGACAGATGAAGCAACAGAATTCCTATTATAGCTACCACTACATCTATGGAAAAGTTTTCAGTCTTTTGTCCTCATTTACTTCCTTAAGAGGGCTTGAAAACACCCAACAGAGAAACAAACAAGATGTATTCACTATTGTGCTCCTAGGAAATTAACAAAACTAATGAAGTACCCAATTACTTTATTAGCCATGTCTTCAAAGCCTTCACCAAGGAATCTTTATCCATTATGGTATATTCCTTGAAGTAACAATATTAAGGTTACAAACAAAGATGATACCAGTAAAATCTCACTGTAATGGATTTTATCTTAAAATAATGCAGTACCAATGTTACTACAGGGGCAATGGCTTGGGCCTTTGTGACCACACTCATATTTCAGATACAAAGATGCTCCATTTACTGTTTCCAGTTATGACTCTATATCAAAAATAAGTGTAACGCTAGGGACCATTAATTGGATGACATGAATAAATATTTGCCCAAATTTCTACCTTATCAGGTTCAAAATCTGATATACTAGAAAATAATGTTACTAGAAGTATCTACCACTTAAAAACAAGAAGGGTGAATTTTAGCTTAAGCATAATTTCGGGAATCGTGTCCTTGGTTTTTCACACCTTGAGTTGAAAATGGTCAGCTGACGTAACAGCATCTCACAGCAAATGAGCGATGAAAGACTGGAGATACGACACCTCTGGGGGCGATGGCACTCCCATGCCTACCTTTCCTCTCACCTCACGTCAGTCGCTCAGTACGCTGCTTTAGAAGGGCGGATCTAAAGGAAATTGTCCTTCAATGGCACAACAAAGGTGTAATGAGAGAAAGTCTCAGGAGGGCTCACACAGAGTTTGAACCTCTTTTTCTTATCCATGTAAAAGGAATACAGCTACGCTTATTGTTACAGGGTCATAAAGGGATCTGCTGGACACAATAATTTATTAATAACAAGTTAATAGTATACTGCTAACCCAAAAGAAAAATGGTCAAGGATATGAATAGTCAATTCACTGAAAAACGCAAACAGTCAAGGAGCAAAATTAACACTTTTAGTCTATCACAGTGGCAAATATTAACTGAATTATAATATTCAGTGTCAGGATAGCAAAAGAAAACTGAGCCGGGAGTGTAGCTGGTTCAACTTCTCTAATGGATAGTCTGGCAATAAGAATAAAAAGACTTAGGTGTGTGCATGACCTCTGTCCTAAAACTTCTTCTAGAAATATATTTTAAGAAAATAATTGGATAAATGTACCAAGATGTATATATAGAGAAAGTGTCTATACAGGGATGCCTAGGTAGCACTATTTATTAAATAATAGAGACTAACTGAAAATAAATGTTCAATATTAGGCAGGTAAATCTAGCATGCATAGTCATACAACAGACAAGGAGATCTAGACCTATATTTACTGATGGAAAAATGGGTCGAACTACAGGTGTTTAAAAAACAAAACAAAAAAAATGCTAGTTTTTATACAAAACAGTATATATAGAATTATCTACATTGGTAGAAAAAAACTATTACTAAGGTATGTAATTTTACTCAATATACATATATATGAAAAAAGGATGTGTATAAGAATATTAATAGTGATCTATTATTTTAGTCTATGTTCTAGTTCAGCTAAATTAGCATTTATCAGCATAAAAGTAATTAGCGATTTTACTTTATATAATAAAAAAGGGAGGGGTGAAATACAGAATTACCACAACAGTAAAGTTACTAAGGACAAAAGTGGGCAAAAGCTTTCCACAGACTTTTTTTTTGCAACGGTGATTCTCATCACACATTAACCCGTAGATGTACTACCCACCCTTTGCTTTTCTCTCTTTTTTTTCCAACTAAGGATGCTTTTTATTTTCCTTTGGTCTGTGAGTTGACACCTTTACATGGTAACTGTGTTATGGAAATAACTGTGGCCAAAAAGATTCATTTATGAATCTAATTCTTTCCTACTTTCTATACCCTTTCATTTAGGGGTACTTCATTTCCAACACCTGTCCAAAAGATTCATGTGTTACTACTAATTTCCTAGTGCTGTGCTTAGTCATTCAGTCGTGTCCAGCTCTTTGTGACCCCATGGACTGTAGCCGGCCAGGCTGCTCTGTCCATGGGGATTCTCCAAGCAAGAGTACTGCGGTAGGCTGTCATGTGCTCCTTCAGGCAGATTCTTTACCAGCTGAGCTACCAGGGAAGCCCAATTTCCTAAGAGAGTCATACATTTTATTTGAAGTTATTTTCAGGGGCAATCTCAGTTTTACTTTTAATTATCCTCTTTAAGCAGGACTATGACCATCACATACCAACAAGAACAAAGTGATCATGAGCCAGTATTTGTATGTAGATAGCACAGCCAAATTAATCAACAGTTAACTGCCAGAGCCCAAGTATGCTAATGATAACAAATACTTTAGCAAGACAGTAAATACTTGGAGACCTCAATGCTATTGCTCTTAATTTCCCCTTTGGGCATATAAAAGAGCAGAATAACCAAAAGCTTTTAAAAACAAAACCAGATCAATCATGAGCATTGTACATTAGGAAAAAAAATACTAGAAAGATTTTTCTCAACTGAGTTACACAAGAAATTAGGTGAAGGAGTAAGCTACATTTGGAAGTCTTGTAAAAATCTGAGCACCTGCTCCTCGACATTTCACTTGTATCTGAAGGCTTTCAGCTGTTTTATATACTCTATAACTAAGGTCCAGGTCTCAGTTCTGAAGCCCTAATTCTTAGGCACCTATAAACAGTTCAAATTCTTTTCTTGCTCTCATTACATTTTCTTTAATTTATAGCCTGTATATTTCTAGATTTTAAGAGAAAATAGTGACCAGTAATGATGTCTTTTAAAGAGTCTGTTATTTTATTACTTCAATGCAAGGTGGAGCTTAGCAAATAAACCAGTCTCCCAGTATTATTCAGTTTGGTCACTGATGTATTGTAAAATAAAAGTCACTATTTTAAAAGCATGCATAAATGAATTAGCAGGAGGTGAGAAATACTGTAATAAATCTGGCTAAGGGTAATTTCTGATGAGGAACTGACATATCTCTTTCCCAAAAATGTTCAAAGACGAAAAAGCTACAAAAGTCAGAAAAAAACCTGAGTCGTAAACAATTTTCTTCTTTATTACATTGTTGAAAACTAATGTAAATTTTATTCATACACCTGGTTTAAACTGATTTTTAAAAATCATTTACTATCAAACTCTTGAGAGAAAAAATTAATGAAGATAATTTTGATTAGCTCAAAGAAATAATATTACAATGATAAAAGCTCATTTATTGAGCACTTACTACATGCTAGGTTCTAGTTTTAACACAGTACTAGCTAGATGATAGAAGCAAAGCACAGAGGAGTTAGAAACGTTGTCAAATATCATGCAGGAAACCGCATTTAAACTTGGTCATTTTGACTAGAGAGTTCAGGTTCTTAACATATGATGACATATCACAAACGAAATGCAATCACCATAAAAATACAAGGTTGAATGGCAAGTATGCTGATGCTTGATTTTATTATGAGGGCAGAGACTGCACACATCCAAATCCCTATCCTAAATTCCTAAATGATGCTGATACTAAATAATTTAAAATCAATTTCCACAGATTTATCATATGGACAGGAATACTCATTTCCAAAGGTAATCTACCTAAGGAAAATACAACCAGTTCAACAAAACTTTTAATGGTAATGAGACAAATTTTATTTAAAAAGTTATTTCCCTGTTGAATATATCATGAGATATTTTAAATTATATTGGAAGTGAGACTTGAAACCCGCTGTGATGCTATAACATATCCTATAGACCATGTTCACAAAAGTTGCTGAATCCTGTCTGAAGAAACAGATATCACAGGATAGTTAAAAACCAGATACCTTCTACTAGCTTCAGTTCAATTTGAAATCTTTCAGGAGTGCCTCCTATGTGGTGAAATTCCAAGCTATTCACAACAGAGGATACAGAGGGCACATGCATGCCTGACAGAGAAACTATTTAGCAGATAAGGAAGGCTTGTTTAATGTTTGATGTTACTATTTAAAATTCAAACCAAAACAAGTGGCCTAATCAAAAGACTTCTAGGAACTGGGAAAGCAGGCTGAAATATAGCACAGAAAGACTCAAGTCCACTCTATACATTCATACAGTACCTGGGAGCTGAATCTGTGAACATCGTCAGAGGCACTGACTAGATCAATGGAAGACATGGAGGAAGAGCGACTATAGGGCTACCAGAGACAGACAAAGAAAAAACCAAGTCATCAGAACAAAGGCACAACAGAGCATTCAGTACCAACTTCCAAACACGAGATAAAGAAAGAGAGAACAAAGCACTATGTGCAACAGGCTCAGCAGCGAGCACTGACTTCATGCACCTCTTATGTGTAATGATCCAAAATCTTTCTATAAAGAATGCAGGCTGCCAATAATACAAAATGGTACCACTTAACCCCAGAGAAAAAAGATTTAATATCACTGGCTACGTTTCTGGTTAACTGTTTTGGACAAGCCATTCCCTATTCCCCACCCTTCTTTTCCCTTAAATAAAAATGGAAGAACATTATATTCAGAAGAAGATTTCTAACAGTTTTTGGAGGATGTCTATGGAAGAAATCATGTAATACCAAATGAAAAAAATCTCATTACTTAAATTCAGGAAAATGAAGAAAACTTATATAACAGGATAGTTTCATCAACAGTGAAGAATATAGCATATACTTTCAGTAAACTCTGGCATTAGCTTACCTTTTGGACAAATCTGTGAGTCCCCACAGAAGAAAAGGCATCTCCAGATGGCATTGAAGTAGACCAATGTAACCTGACCTTTTCACTCTGCGACTAAGAAAGCACATAATTTTAAACAGGAAGGTTACAAAGTGTATTTTGCAGCTTAAAAGTGAATAATGTAACATTTAACTACTTAACAGTTTAGTATTTATAAATATTTCAATTATGAATCTACATTAAAGACACAAGCCTTGCCAAATCTTGACACCTGATGTATCCTGATTTTCTTTCAGATTCCAAAGGTACTAACCTTAGACCAAAGATATTGATAGCCCCTTGAATATTTCTTTTTTCCAAAGTCTAAAGAAGTTTTCATTGATTCTCTTCAATTCCAACTCAACCACCATCTATTCAGTAGAGGAGCATTTTTAAGCCAGAAGAGATGATCTAAGTCATCCTGTCCAAGCCCTTGATTCAAAGACTAGAAAACCAAGGCCCAGAGGATTTAAGCAATAAGTGTTGAGCTACATAGTCAGTGGCAAAACTCAAGACTAACTTGTCTTGATCGCACAGTTCAAAACTCTCCCTCAAATAACCCAGATTAAAACAAAAGGAAAAACATAGTGAAGGGGAAAAAAACTAACCAAAAAAACCCTAAACACCCTAAAAAAAAAAATACAAGGATGCTATTTCAGATGCTATATTTTTGGCACCCAAAATGAGAACTCACTTAGGAACTGAAAGTTTTAGAGTTCTGCATGTTAAAAAACGGGAAATGAGATCTATAAAATGAACATGAAAAGCAAACAGCCACTGTTGCAGATGACTTACTTGGGTAGACAGATCAGTAAATGGGCACTATCAACTTAAAAACACTATACAACATGAGAGTTGTGAGCTAAGTTTCACTTGGGGCAAAATGAGGACCACAGCCTAGGAGACAGCATGTCAGATAGCTCTGAGACACCGCTCCAAAAAGGTAGTGAGGGAAGGTCAGCATATTTGTGATTTTGGTGAAGGGGGAGTATATGCAATCAAGTGCATTTTTGCATATTTCAGCTAGTCACCAGTAGCAGACATTACCATGAAGGAATTCAGTATCTTTTCTAGATATGAGATGCAAGAACTGGACTCATAAAATCACCTCCTAAAAATATCTATCTGAAGGCCTATTCTGCCAATTTTCCCAGAGCACGGAGCGCCTCATCCCTCCTCTCCAACCTGTACTCTGTTCAGGCAGTGCTGAAGGACAGCGGTTGCAGCAGCACCTGTGACTTAATCCATGAAGAGGCAGGTGGCAAGTGCCCATCTATAGCTGGCAGCACAATAGCCTTCACTGCCTTTAATAACAAGCCAATTTTCCTATGCAAGTTAATTTAGGGTATATAACTGACACACATGACTTATTTCTAAGATGTTTATAGTCTTGAGAAGAATAACTAAAATTCAAGCCTAAGTACCATCTAGTGGTTAAGTTCAGTTCAGTCACTCAGTCATATCTGATTCTTTGCGACCCCATGGACTGCAGCACACCAGGCCTCCCAGTCCATCACCAACTACCAGAGCTGGCTCAAATTCATGTCCATTGAGTCAGTGATGCCATCCAACCATCCATCCTCTGTCATCCCCTTCTCCTCCTGCCTTCAGGTAGCCAAAAGTATTGGAGTTTCAGCTTTAGCATCAGTCCTTCTGATGAATACTCAGGGTTGACTTCTTTTAGGATTGACTGGTTTGATCTCCTTGCCGTCCAAGCAACTCGCAAGAGTCTTCTTCAACACCACAGCTCAAAAGCATCAATTCTTCAGTACTCAGCTTTCTTTATGGTTCAACTCTCACATCCATACATGACTACTGAAAAAACCATAGCTTTGACTAGACAAACCTCTGTTGGCAAAGTAATGTCTCTGCTTTTTAATATGCTGTCTATGTTGGTCATAGCTTTTCCTCCAAAGAGCAAGCATCTTTTAATTTCATGGCTGCAGTCACCATCTGCAGTGATTCTGGAGCCCAAGAAAAGAAAGTCTGTCACTGTTTCCATTGTTTCCCCATCTATTTGCCATGAAGTGATGTGACTGGATGTCATGATCTTAGTTTTTTCAATGTTGAGTTTTAAGCCAGCTTTTTCACTCTCCTCTTTCACTTTCAAGAGGCTCTTTAGTTCTTCTTCACTTTCTGCCATAAGGGTGGTATCATCTGCATATCTGAGGTTACTGATATTTCTCCTGGCAATCTTGATTCCAGCTTGTGCTTCAACCAGCCGAGTGTTTCTCATGATGTCAACCAGCCGAGTGTTTCTCATGATGTACTCTGCATATAAGTTAAGTAAGAAGGGTGACAATATACAGCCTTGACGTATTCCTTTCCCGATTTGGAATCAGTCCGTTGTTCCACGTCTAGTCCTAAGTGTTGCTTCTTGACCTGCATACAGATTTTTTGGAGGCAGGTAAGGTGGTCTGGTAAACTCATCTGTTGAAGAATTTTCCATTTTGTTGTCATCCACACGGTCAAAGGTTTTAGTGTAGTCAATGAAGGAGAAGTAGATGTTCTTCTGGAATTCTCTTGCTTTTTCTATGATCAAACGGATGCTGGCAATTTGATCTCTTGTTCCTCTGCCTTTTCTAAATTCAGCTTCAACATCTGGAAATTCTCAGTTCACATACCCAGCTCACATAGCCTGGCTTGGAGAATTCTGACCATTACTTTGCTACCGTGTGAGATGAGAGCAACTGTGCAGTAGTTTGAGCATTCTTTGGCATTGTCTCTCTTTCAGATTGGAATGAAAACTGACCTTTTCCAGTCCTGTGGCCACTGCTGAGTTTCCCAAATTTGCTGGCATATTGAGTGCAGCACTTTCACAGCATCATCTTTTAGGATTTGAAACAGCTCACCTGGAATTCCATCACCTCCACTAGCTTTGTTTATAGTGATGCTTCCTAAGACCCATTTGACTTAGCATTCCAGGATGTCTGGTTCTAGGTGAGTGATCACACCACCGTGGTTATCTGGGTCACAGAGATCTTTTTTGTATAGTTCTGTGTATTCTTGCCACCTCTTCTTTATACCTTCTGCTTCTGTTAGGTCCATACCATTTCTGTCCTTTATTGTGCCCATCCTTGCATGAAATCTTCCCTTGGTTATCTCTAACTTTCTTGAAGAGATCTCTAGTCATTCCCATTCTATTGTTTTACTCTATTTCTTTGCACTGATCATTTAGGAAGGCTTTCTTAACTCACCTTGCTATTCTTTGGAACTCTGCATTCAGATGGATATATCTTTCCTTTTCTCCTTTGCCTTTTTTGTCTCTTCTTTTCTCAGCTATTTGTAAGGCCTCCTCAGACAACCATTTTTCCTTATTGCATTTCTTTTTCTTGGTGATGGTTTTCATCACAGCCTCCTGTACAATGTTAGGAACCTAGTGGTAATATATGGTACCATCTAGTGGTAATACATGGTAACTGCACTGTTGCAGAATTAAGGTAAAGTGAAAAAGTGAAAGTGCTAGTTGCTCAACTGTGTCTGATTCTTAGGGACCCATGCACTGTAGCTCACCAGTCTCCTCCATCCATGGAATTCTCTAGATAAGAATACTGGAATGGGTAGCCATTCCCTTCTCCAGGGGATCCTCCCAACCTAGGGATTGAACCTGGGTCTCCTGCACTGCAGGCAGATTCTTTACCATCTGAGTCATAGGGAAGCCTCTAAAGGTGAAGACCCAAATTAATCTTGAAACTGAGTTGAAGGATTTAAGAAATACTTCCCTTCAATCTTCACAGAAGGGGCTTGGTATAACTGCTGTGAATTTAATGATGATAGAACACTAAGCAAAGTTAAAAGTGAGAAAGGTGAAGGTAGTGAAAGCAATAAATGAGTTAATAAAAACTGAATGGTACTATCGTAGAACAAAAATAAACTCTTGGTCATCTTCCTTTCGAATTCATATAGTATTTGGTGATGAAGAGGAATTCAAAGAGACTGTTTTACTCAGAGCAAATATATGCTTTATATTAACAGAATGATAATAAAATTTGATAATGATAATAGAATGATAATAAAATTGGCTGAGAGAAATATCAGTAACCTCAGATACGCAGATGACACCACCCTTATGGCAGAAAGTGAAGAACTAAAGAGCCCCTTGATGAAAGTGAAAGAGGAGAGTGAAAAAGCTGGCTTAAAATTCAACATTCAAAAAATGAAGATCATGACATCCAGTCCCATCACTTCATGGTAAACAGATGGTGAAACAATGGAAACAGGGACCGACTTTATTTTTGGGGGGCTCCAAAATCACTGCAGATGGTGACTGTAGCCATGAAATTAAAGGACGGCTGCTCCTTGGAGAAAAAGCTATGACCAACCTAGACAGGCTACTTAAAAGCAGAGATATTACTTTGCCAACAAAGGTCCATCTAGTTAAAGCTACAGTTTTTCCAGTTGTCATGTACGGATGTGAGAGTTGGACTATAAAGAAGGCTGACTGCCAAAGAATTAATGCTTTATAACTGTGGTGTTGGAAAAGACTCTTGCGAGTCCCTTGGACTGCAAGGAGATCCAACCAGTCAATCCTAAAGGAAATCAGTCCTGAATATTTACTGGAAGGACTGATGCTGAAACTGAAACTCCAATACTTGGGCCACCTGATGTGAAGAACTGACTCAATGGAAAAGACCCTGATGCTGGGAAAGATTGAAGGCAGGAGGAGAAGGGGATGACAGGATGAGACGGTTGGATGGCATCACTGATTTGATGGACATGAGTTTGAGTAAGCTCTGGGAGATGGTGATGGACAGGGAAGCCTGAAGTGCTGCAGTCCATGGGGTCACAGAGAATGACATGACTAAATGGCTGGACTGAACTGAAAATTGGATACTTCAAAGAGAACAGGCAGAGTATTTCCATTCAATTTCATATTATTTATGCATGCTTCATTTAAACAATTATTAATCTTCCTTTCTATTGTTTGAAAATTGATCAATGAAGAAAGTGACTTATAAAGGTTCTTCTTTATTTGTGACTCAATGTAGATACAGTTCATTTCTTAGGTTATTAGGATCATGATTTCAAATTCTATTTATATGAAATATACACCAAGGATTTTTAAAAATTTAAAAAATTTACATACCTGTTCTTCTATTTTATCTTGTCTGTCAAGAGCAGCTTCAACAGCATCAAAGAACTCCTCTTCATTAATCAAACTGTTCGGGCCTTCCTATTTAGACACACGGGGGCGGGGGGAAAGCGGTTGATTCAAGAAAATAGAAAACACTGATAGTCTTGGCATTAACTCTCAGAGAAAATTAAAAAGTGAGCTGTCAAACATTTCAGAATCAGTTAGTATACCAGATAATACACAAAGATGAACAACATATGTTCTATGCAAAATCACTAGTGTTACAATTAATTCACTCATTCGGTACTCAAATACTTACTATATATTCACCAACACTGTGTTAGGGTAAATATAGTTAGCAGGGAGTTGGTGAACTATGGCCAATATGCTCTACACAAAATCACTAGTGTTACAATTAATTCACTCACTTGGTACTCAAATACGTACTATATATTCACCAACACTGTGTTAGGGTAAATACAGTTAGCAAGGGGTTGGTGAACTATGGCCAATATGCTCTACACAAAATCACTAGTGTTAACAATTAATTCACTCACTTGGTACTCAAATACTTACTATATATTCACCAACACTGTGTTAGGGCAGATACAGTTGAACAGGGAGTTGGTGAACTCAATTTCAGTCCACTGTCTACTTTCAGAACGGCCTTTAAGCTCAGCATTTCATTTTTAAGTGGTTGAGAAACAAGAGTAACATTTCAAAGAATTCCCTGGTGGTCCAGTGGTTAGGACTCTGCACTCTCCCTAATGAGGGTTCAAGTTCAGTCTCTGGTTGGGAAACTAAGACCCCACAAGTCCAGCGGTGTGCCCCCAACGCCCAAATCATGACAAGGGAACTGTGTGAAATTACAGCTTTACTGGGACATAATCACACTCATTCATTTATGGATTGTCCATGTCTGCTTTCATGCTACAGAGGCAGAGTTGAGTACCTGTAACTTGAGTACTTGTCAGAAACCATATAAAATTGCAGGAAGGTTTTAAGTACAAAGTTGCAGAAGATCTACAGCCAATGAAAAGTATCGACAGGGTTTCTGAAGGGGATCTTCCTAAGCAAAGACAATTACATCATAGAGAAAGAAAAGCTGAACTGATGCTTGAAAGCCTGCTTAGAAAGGTAGAGCAGTGGCTCTCAATCACTTGAGGAACTGCCTGGGGAACTTACTAAAATGAAAAATCCTAGGCCCCAATTCACAGAAATTACTTTTTAGTAGGTCTTGGGTAGAGCCAGGAATATGCATGTTAATAAGTCCTCCAAGTAGTTCTAATGCAAGCAGAACCTCAGCTGCATCACAAAATACAAAGAATAACAGCAAAATGGAAACAAGCAAGGTATGTGCATATCTTGCAGTGATAAAACACATTTAAGTGGACTGAACAACAAGTAGACTATAAGCGGAACAGGAGCACTGCTGGGGTCCAGAGTAGGCTACCCCATGGTTCTCAATGGCATATTGAGTATTTTGAATTAAAGTTACTTAAGAAATGGACAATGCAAGAGGGACACTCTGACACTCCGGTCTCCCTGAAAACAGGAAGCAAATCTCACATGAAATGTGCATTCCCTGCATCCAGAGGCTGCTTTGTTGTTGCTGTTGAGCTGCCAAGTCGTGTCTGACTTTCAGTCCCATGGATTATAGACTGCCAGGCCCCTCTGTCCATGGAATTTTCCAGGCAAGGATATTGGAGTGGGTTGCCATCTCCTTCTCCAGGGGACCTTTGTGATCCAGGGATCAAGCCCTGGTGGATTCTTTACTACTGAGCTACCGTAGGAGGCCCCATCATCCTAATCAATTCCTCAAAAATTTATTGTTTCTTTGTTGAATGAACATAAAAGCTGACTGCTTTGGCCTCTTTCTGTAAGAGGTCTTTCTGTGAGGTCCCATTTCTGTGAGACCCCGCCAGGCAGATGAATTAAAATTTGTTTTTCTCTTGTTAATCTGTCTCATGTCAAGTTTATTATTAGTCCAGCCACAAGAACTCAAGGAGGGTAGAGGGGGGAATATTCCTCTCCCCAGCAGCTTCATATTATGGTTAAACTGAAGGCTGAAAAGGCAGGCTTGGGTTTAAGTTTCCTAAGTTTTTAAATATACAAGATAAGACAAATGAACTATTGTGAGTCTGTCTGGAATCTTCCCAATTAAGACTGAAAATTCCAAGTCACCACAACTCCATCAAAAAGTCTGTAGTAACTCATCACTACCCTGCCACGAACTGGGGCCGCACAGGAAGAGCGGGAGGAACTGTGCTGCAGCGCTTCTGTTATTTGGCACAGGCATGTCAGAAACCCTAATTCAGTGCAACAGTTCTAGAGGATCCTGCGACAGTCACTTCAAAAGCCCCCTGAACTTTTTAATTTAACTACAGCACACAGAGCAGTGCACATCTCAATGAATTACCAAAATATCCCTTTGGCATGTGGATTATTCTGAGCTAGCTAAAAACAAACAAAGGCCTGAAAGACTCAGGAAGAAACTTTGATCTTCCCCTCTCAGGACCTAGAAATGTTTTAGATAGAGTCTCTGTGCCCAGAACAGAGCAATCACTAAAGAGATCTACAAGGAATGTGGGCTAGATGTTATGAGGGAAACTCAGCAGGATGTAGAGACCAGAGCCTGCAGTGTGCCACTCTTTCTGCGTGGCCCAGCAAACACTGGTTTACCAAACACCTGCTTTTCCGTCTTCATATGAATTACCTCACCCCCGTCTTTTAAGTTCCAAACCAGCAAGTCCCCATCTTTTGTCTTCAGGCGAAGGTGGTATTTAAGGTGAGGGTTTCGGCCATTTTGGGGAGTTACGCAGTTTCCCTGGATTTCTCCCACACAGACATATCATTAAACCTTGATTTTCTCCTGTTAATCTGTCCTGTGTCAATTTAATTTGTCAATTTAATTTTTTAGATGAGCCAGAAAAAACAATGAAAGGTAGAGGAAGATTTATTCCTCCCTAACATAACCATCTAATGACCAGCTATATCATGAAAAAGAGTCCTGCAGGGCTCCCTTTATAAAGCCAAAACATTTCAGACACTCAAATGTCAGCAGAATCACTTTGGTCTCTGTTGATGTTACAAAACCATAAAATATCCAAAATCAAACGTTTTCTAATGATTTTTAAATTCTACTGATCATAACCACATCTATAAGAAGTTGTAATGCTCATTCAATCTATTCAAGAGTCAGAGTCTCAGGAGTCTACCAATTGGGAACTGCAGTGTTAAAAATCTGAGGAAGAACTGGAATAAATTTTACTTTATTAAAAAACTTAAGTTCTCACTACAAGAAAAAAAAAGTGTAAAAATGTAAGGAGACAGATGTTGTGATCACGTTACAGCATATATGTAAACTGAAAGTTGCTCACTCATGCCTGACTCTCCACAAGCCCATGGACTATACAGTCCATGGAATTCTCCAGGCCAGAGTACTGGCATGGGTGGCTTTTCCTGCTCCAGGGATCGAACCCAGGTCTCCAGCATTGCAGGCAGGTTCTTTACCAGTTGAGCCACAAGGGAAGCCCAAGAATACTGGAGTGGGTAGCCTATACTTTCTCCAGTGATCTTCCCAACCCAGGAATCGAACCGGGGTCTCCTGCATTGCAGGTGGATTCTTTATCAACTGAGCCACCAGGGAAGCCCATGTGTGTATATTTATATGCGTGTGCGTGTGCACCTAAGCATTACACTGTACACCTTAAACTTACACAATGTTATATGTTAATTATATTTCAACAAAGTTGTAAATAAATAAATGCCCTCTGAAATAAAAACAAAAAATTTAACTTTTCTATCTCATTAAGCTTACCAAGGAAAAGAGCTATTTATTGCTAAGTCTATGGGACACTTCAAGTCTTTATTTTACTTGCCTATTAGCAGCGTTTATGTTAATGATCTTCACTGGTGCCATCATCCCCTCAGTTCAGTCCGTTCAGCTGCTCAGTCGTGTCTGACTTTGTGACTCCATGGACCGCAGCACGCAAGGCTTCCCTGTCTATCACCAACTCCTGGAGCTTGCTCAAACTCATGTCCATCGGATCGGTGATGCCATCCAACCATCTCATCCTCTGTCGTCCCCTTCTCCTCCCATCTTCAATCTTTCCCAGCATCAGGGTCTTCTCCAATGAGTCAGTTCTTCGCATCATGTGGCCCAAGTATTGGAGCTTCAGCTTCAGCTTCAGTCCTTCCAATGAATATTCAGGACTGATTTCCTTTAGGATGGACAGGTTGGATCTCCTTGCAGTCCAAGGGACTCTCAGAAGTCTTCTCTGACACCACAGTTCAAAAGCATCAATTCTCCAGCACTCAGCTTTCTTTATAGTACAACTCTCACATCCATATATGACTACTGGAAAAACCATAGCTTTGACTAGATGGACTTTTGTTGACGAAGTAATGTCTCTACTTTTTTAATATGCAATCTATGTTTGTCATAGCTTCCCCCTGGGATCTGTAATTTCCCAGTCTTCTTGGGCTTCCCAGGTGGCGCTAGTGGTAAAGAATTTGCCTGCCAATGCAGGAGACATAAGAGAACAGGGTTCAACCCCTGGGCTGGGCAGATCCCCAGGAGGAGGACACAGCAACCCACTCCAATATTCATACTTGGAGAATCCCATGGACAGAGAAGCCTGGTGGGCTATGGTCCACGGACAGAGGAGCCTGGTGGGTTACGGTCTGTAGAGTCACAAAGGATCAGACATGACTGAACCAACTTAGCAGGCACTTGGGCTTCCCAAGTGACGCCCTCTGGGAATGCACCAGCCAATGCAGAAGACATGGGTTCATTCTTGGGTCAGGAAGAGCCCTTGAAGTAGGGGGATGGCAACCCACTCTAGTATTCTGTGCCTAGAAAATTCCTGGACAGAGGAGCCTGGTGGGCTCTAGCCCATGGGGTCGCAAAGAGCTGGCTACAACTAAGCATGCACTGTGCACTGGGAAAAACAAGCACTTTTTCAGGCCCCGAGCAGGTTCCCCTCTGTCTACTCCTTCAATGTGAGTGCTCCTCAGGGTTCCACCTCTGCTCTCCCTGCAGCATTCTTACTATTTCTATGACTTCAGTCATCATCTGAAGGTTCCCAAGTTCATAG